CAAAGTAGAAGTTAGTAATGCTCAAGTTGTTTCTGGTCAAGTATGTTGGGTGTGTGCTGGCTTGGTTGCATGTGATGTTGAATTCGGGTCGGAGGTAACAGCCGTCACCTATGCCAAATGGGTAGGGGATTGTGAGATTACCGCATTTCTCTGGGCACCCAGGCTTGGCTTGAGGCAGCAGGGCTTGAGCTGCTGATGCTATTGGTGTAAATATTGCCGCCCCTAATAGCACAACCATAGAGAGTTGCACAATAATAAGCATGCTCCCAAGTAAGGCCATGGCTTGCACCACTTGATTTTTCCTTGTACTAAGAATTGGTTTAATGTTTTAGGGAGGGAATTAATAAATAAATAAAAAATGTCTTCCTGGTGTGTACGGATTTGGTAAATACTCGGTCAAATAAATAAATAATATTTTTCCTTCATGGGTCTTTTTCTTTCTTGATTGCTGGTACCGTGTAATGACCAAGTCATTAAACAAATAAATGACCAAGTCCATGCAATAATCAAATCCAGCAACAGCAACAGTTGGAATGGTGACTTTTCGAAAAACAAAAAAAGTCATTTCTCTAACCCTTCTTCAAATCAAACCCTACCAACGACTCTGAAGTCAAAACAACGACAAAGAAAAAGATAATTAAAAACAAAACATTTGAGCCATATACGTGGCGTGGCTTTGATGGCATATATGTGTGTTTCCCAACAAGAGTGATTCTACAGTGAAGGCCTTGTCTATGGTACTTAAGTGAAGTTTTATATCTTAATCATTAAATCGGATTAACTAATTTAATTGAGCATAGCTGGACATCACATAATCTAAGAACCAAGAGAGCTTTAACAGCCCATTTGAGTATTGCCTACTTTGTATATGTTGTTACAACTTAGGGCCATGTGCGAACCTTAAACTGGGGCCTCACATAAGCTAATACAAACTTACACCATTACGTAATGTCATACAATAAATGTTTTTTTTCTTAAAGTGACCAAAGTAGCCCTACTTCCAAGGGCAAAATTGAAATTTCACAAAAGAATTAAATTTGATTAAATCGATTAAATTGGATCAGGGATGTTACACTTTTTAAATAATCACCATGATTGTGACGATGAGTCTTTGTTGTAATAGATCACATTCAGATATTAAATATTTTTAACGCCTAAATTATTTTGTATAAATAATCCAAGAACATCATTAATTGGATGCAACTTTTTGGGTTGAGTTAGTTGGATGCATTATTTTTGCAAAATTAAATATCTTTTTAACACCTAATTTATTTTGTATCAATATTCCCAGAACATCATTAAGTGGATGCAACTTTTTTAGTTGGATGCATTATTTTTGCAAAATTAAATATCTTAGCATATATAAAAACAATCGTGTACCACTTTACTAACCACATTTTTAATTGAGGTGAGCCCTATATATGGAAGTCTTATCTCTATGGCCGCTTGAAAAAAATAAATAAAATCTATATGAGTAATTGAAGAGCTAGCGTCAAGTCGATGATGGGGACGTTTGAGAGATTCAGTGTCATCATTTGAGGACTGAAGTGCTTAGTCGTTGGATCAATTTCCATGAAATCATGTGGTTGAGATTGATTTAAGTGTTTAAACTTGTTTGTGTCTAATGACTTGCCAAAAACCCACATGTATGTACACTTTACTGCATAGCAAGGTTGCTGTAATTCGTCCACGTGTTATAATATGGATGGGTGATATGGTTAATATTTCCCACTTTTAAAATATAATATCAATAAATATTCACTTATGTATTTTAACAAACGAATTATACCATGTGACATACTCTCATATTAGGTACACTATAATTACTCGCACTTAAAGCACAAAAAACTTGGAACATGACAAATGTAGTATTATGCACGAAAAACTACAATGGATACAAGGACGGACCATATAACTTTACAACCCACGGTACAAGATATTAACATAGATTTATTTCCTGAGGCACTGGCTCGAACTGAAACAAACTAATATTGGTTTAGATTTCCTAAACATATACATCAGTAGCAGCAAGTCAATCTATTGTTTGTGGCATTTGTAAGTTCTTGCGCAGTAAAGACTGGTATGGGATGGCTCTAAGTCATGGATTAGGGGTAATATATGATCTTCCTCTACAAATTTGTCTGATCCAATAACGTTCCAGTCTTTGTGGCAGTGATACCCTGTCTCCATTTTCATCTTACCCTCTTACTCTAGAAAACCAATATGCTACAATTTTTAGAACACTCGCAAAGAAGAACGAATTCAAGAAGCATATGGGTAATGCCAGCCAACAACATTGCTCTGTTTCAAATTTAAAATTTAGTGCGAAAATGCCATTTAGGATTTATGAAAAATGTAAAGAAGAATGAATTTTATTTTCTTGTTTTTGGTGGAGAGATCATAAAGCTTAATATGATAAGCTTGCACTTGATATATCAAATTGTAAATTCAAGATTGATGATAAAATTAGTGGGAAACAAACAAGGAACAACAATACACCAGGAACAAACAAAGTTCAAGATTGATGAATTTTATTTTCTTCTTTTTGTTCTCTTATTTCAGCAAGCTCAAGAACAAGAAGTTCTAACATTACCAGGAACAAGAATTCAACTGATTATCGCCCATCTCCATAAGGCGTTACCATCTGGATTTGATTTTGCATGCTCCTCTCATAATCTGCACTGATTAAAATACTACTATAACTACCAGCATCACCCTCACCTCTGATATCCACAAAGGAAGAGCTTGAAACAGGTGACCCAAGCAAGTAGTCGGTATCTTTCTGAGTTCGAGGGAAACTAGGCTTTCCTCCACTTGGATACAGTTCCATAGTTGGCACTAATCCATCGAGCTCTGCAGCTACTTCTTTCATGGACGGCCTTTCTTCCCCTCTTAGCCTTAAGCATCTTTTTGCCAGATCGGCCACTTTTGTGACTCTCTCAAAGTGTCCCTCCACTATTTCATCATCAAGAATTTGACCCAAGCGATCCGAGTCCAACAAGGAAACAAAGACTTTTGCTGGGTTTCTCTCTGCCTCGGGCTTTTCAAAACAAAGAGCCCTTTGGCTTGTGAGTAGCTCCACTAGGACAACTCCGAAACTATAGACGTCACTCTTTTCTGTTAGTATGTTTGACTGAAGATATTCAGGGTCTAAGTATCCGACTGTCCCTTGCACAAAAGTTGATAGTTTGTCTTCATCTTGATCAGGAACCAATCGTGAAGCTCCAAAATCGGATACTTTTGCCGTGTAGTTTTCGTCTAATAGTATATTTGTTGCTTTCACATCTCGGTGTATGATCGGGGTAGAAGTGGAGTAGTGCAAGTAAGCTAGTGCCTCTGCTGTATCTGATGCTATCTTCAATCGTAATGGCAATGAAAGGGGTGATGTTCCTTTGTTGTTTTTCCTATGAATGTGCTCATAAAGAGTGCCATGGGCGATGAACTCGTAAACCAATATTGGTGTTTGGGTCTCCAAACAACAACCTAGCAGTCTCACAACATTTTTATGGTGGATTTGAGAAAGAACAATCACCTCGTTAACAAATTGCCTACTCTCGGTAATTGGGGCACTAACTTTGGACTTCTTTATGGCAACCACTTGTTCATTTGACAGTATTCCTTTGTAAACAGTTCCATAGCCTCCTTCACCAATTTTTCCGCTTACATGATAATTGTTTGTGGCCTTTTTAAGTTCTTCTTCAGTAAAAATTCTGGCTGCTGTCCGAACAGATCCAGCATAACTGGCCAGTTCTTGCTTTAAAAATAAGCCACCATTATCTTCAAAGTATTTTTGTTTGAGTTTGTTGAACTTTCTGTTCTTCATTTCCTGATATATACAAAAACTCGCAACCACTAAAACCAAGATGCTCAAAGGAATACCTGCAGAAATTAAAAATCATAGTCAAAGCTGATATTCGTAATTTAATTATTACCAAAAGTCACTTTTGGTTCCCGTAATTTTGCACTTCAATCACTGTTGACCATGTAGTTTAAATTCCATCAATTTTTCCATTGTAGTTTTATAATTGTAGCAATTTGAGGAAAATTCTAATTTCCATCAAATTATTCTAATTTCTGTCATCCATTCAGGGTAAAAATGGCAAAATGGCAAAATATGAGGATTGTTCTTAAATTGCTACAATTAAGAAACTATAATGGCAAAACTGACGAAATTGAAACTATAGGGTCAAAATGGTTGAAGTGTCAAACTACAGGGACCAAAAGTGACTTTAGATCTTTAATTATTTATGTTATTGACAGGACCTACCCCGAATTTCCCAAAACCCGAGACGAATCCTGTGGAAACCCCAGCATCACACCCATGCCGGGCTCACTCACTGAAATGTAGCCTCCTTTTTCAAAAGAAGTAAGGGCACGAGACTTTTTGCCGAAAATTCGGCAGAGTCTCCTCTGTAAATCGGACTTTCCCCAAATTTAAACGTGCATAAAACACATTTAATATTACCAACTGGCAACATGCACAAGATAATTTCATGCAATTCACATAAATGGCCTCCGGCCTTCCGATAATTCAAAGCAAACTACCAACACATTCCTTAAGTTAAATAATAACTTCAAACACACTGATGAAAGCCAAAAGTAATTTATATCCTTTAACTTTCCCAACTATCCAATATGCGAGGTTTTAACCTCCTAAAGCCAACACAAAAAGTTTAAGGTCTTAGCCCAAATCGTACAACTATCCAGACGGGTCTTGCCCTAATTCAATCACAACGCACTAACACCACCCTCCCGTAGTCAACGGGAGTATGAACAATTATCTAATCACATCTCGGTTTCATCCGAGTTTCAGGACCAAAGACAAGGTCAGAACCACACTCAACAAAACCACCTAAGTAAAGTCTAGCCCGTGGCTGCACCTAGGCGCTATCCTAGGCTGCCTACGTACCCTTACTAAGGGATTAAGCCACACGTAGTTCTTTCACTAAAACCCTTTACTTTAAATCACAACTCACCAAATACTCACCAAATCTCCCCATATGCCGGTACTACCAACGCCACATATGGGGTCTGTCAACACACCGGCTACTCCTACGACACGTGCGACCTCACAAGCATATCTCATAATCCCCTCATATGCCGGTACTACCAACGCCACATATGGGGTCTGTCTACACTCCGGCTACTCCTACGACACATGCGACCTCAACACAGTATCACCATATCCCCTATATGTCGGTACTACCAACGCCACATATGAGGTCTGTCAACACACCGGCTACTCCTACGACACGTGCAACCTCAACACAGTATCACATGACGGTACTTACACAGTGTAATCAATACTTGGGGAGGTACATAGGGTAGTACGTTGTTGAGGCCCAAAATCCAAGGGGCTAAGCCCAAATTAACCCTTAGCCCAATATGGGTGATTTGATGCAAAATAAGCTCAATCGGGATAAAAGAAAATTTATAAGAGCCGCCAACACAAGCTACAAGCCACAAATCATGCTAAACAAGCACGTGCAGAAGGAGCCAAGAACATACCGATATTACTAAATCACGCTCACATGCTCATTCGGTGCTACTTGGCCCAACTATAGCCTATCATGGCATAATAAAACCCCAAGCACGAGCATAGAAATCATGCGCATTCTAATACCGAGCTACGTCACGAGCTTAAGTGGGCCCAAGCCACAAAATTAACCGGGGCTTACTGAGAAGGTTGTGGTATGGAAGGAAACAAGCAATCACGGGGCCCATTGAGGTTTCAAGGAACGTAGGTTTCAAAGCCACTTGGGGGCTTTGGAACTCAAGCCCGTTCCTAGAACCCAAGCATATGGGTTAGCATGAAAAAGAAGAGAAAAATTGCCCCATGCTCTAGGAAGACACCAAAAACCCACCAACATGCTTAGCCCAACCCACATCAATAGAGTTAAAAGCCCTTTCCAGCAGTTTGACGAAAATTCACTAGAAATAATAGGCCAACAGCCCAAAAGTCACGCACAAAGCCCAGTCCAGCAGCTTATACAAAAGCTGTCATCGTGTTCCACCCCTGATAAGACTCCAAGCAAGTCAGACAAAGGGTCAAGGCAAGAACCAGCAGAAATTCATGGGTAAAGGGCAAATACCCATTAGACAAAAGGCTCCACCCATCTCCTTCCCCATTACAAGCTCTGTTTTGAAAACACTGAGAGAAAGCAAAGTGGCGCCTCACCCTTGTGGGGAGGTCCAGCTGCGTCAAGCTCGATGGAACCACAATGGTTCCTTTCCCATATGCCTTGATAAGAGAATTGCACGAAAATAGGACTAAGTAGGAGCTGCCAAGAGAAAAGGAAGAAGAAGACCAGACAAAATTAGGGCTCTTAACGCCTATAAAAGGAGGCTTTTGCTACCCAGAAAATCCATCCAGAGCCTGACCAAGCTTTGTCAAGCAACCTGGAATTTACTCAAGCCACCCAATCCTCTTTCTCCGTTGTTTTCTTCTTTCCCTGAGATAAAACTTTGCTAAGTTTTCCTTTGTTCCTAGTTTAGATTTTATCCTCTATAAGAAATTCATGCTTCTCTCTCTCTCTCTCTCTCAAACTGCTAAACTCGTGAAAGCTTAGCTCCCATGCCACATGCTCCTCAGGCTAAGTCATTAGTGAAATCATCATGCTTATTTGGGTGTTAGTAAAGTGATCCTGAGAGTGTTCTTTTAAAATCTCATCAGATTTTCTAAAAACTCTCTTGGGAGCTTGGTTTCGAACTCAGGCATTTGGGGGATTTTACTCGTTGTCTTCTTACAGCAGCCCAGGCCCATTCGTCAGGCTGCTGGAACAAAAAACCCCCTACATACGTATAGCACTTCAAACTGACATTCTAAACTCTTTTTATACCTTTATATATACACAAAAATATAAATTAATTTCTATTGTTGTATAAACCTCAACAACAATCTAGCATCCGATAATCCCCCAATTAAAAACAATGAACTAATATCCTAATCCCATATAACCAACATACAATCAAGACCTATCACTACGGTCATTTTAATCTTCCTAGGATTGATATTGCCTTAAAATAAATTTGGCTTTTTCCCTTAAAAAATAAAATAAATTTGGCTTTTTCCCTTAAAATTGATATTGCCTTACCCGTCCGCAACCCATCCCTTTATTTTCTACAAATAAAACCCAATTTTTGTAAGTAAAACCCGATGACTAGGATCGAACTCAGTAAGTTATCTCATCAAGCTTAAATTTTGATTTATTGTGATTTTTAGATTCCAAAATTACCCTTATTTACAATTCAATGTATTTTATGAGACTTTTAAATTTTGCCCAATTTATTGTGATTTTTTTCCTCCAGCATATTGTATGCGAGTCAACCACCATTTATTATACCTTTTGATTATGTGTTTTCCTCCAGCAAATTGTATGGGATAGTCATCATATTATTTACCTATTTTTTATTATAATTTACCTTTTTATTATTATAAATAATTGATAATAATTTACCTATTTTATCCATAACATATTAATGTACCTATTTTATTTTATTGATGATAGGTATATTATCCATAACATATTAATGTACCTATTTAATTTTATGAATAGACAGTAATGGATAATAATTCGAGCTAGGGCAATATTAGGTAAAATCCCAACTAGGGATAAAATCCTAGCGAATGAATAAGCACGGTATGAATAGATACATAATGGATAATAATCTCATCTAGGTATATTAGTCATAACATAACATATACAGGAGTCTGTAAAATGAGAATTGGGATTATATATAGGAGGTTAGGAGGTTAGGAGGGCATATTTGAACTAATTTTGTAGCCCATTATTATAGGAGTGCAAACATAAATGTGCATTGAGAGGTGGGTATTATTCATTTGCATAAAATTAAGGGATGTAAAATAGTTAGTAACTAAATAAAAATTTAATGGCATAATTTGTAAATAAATCAACTTACATGGATACATTGTCATCCAATTTTAAAATTAAAATTAACTTAATTGTTATATTATTATTGGGTTATCGTATATGATTTTGAGTCATAACAACTTATTTTAGTATGACTCAACGATAGAAGCTTCCTTTCTTTTTTTTCTTCTTTTTTTTTTCCAAGAGAAGCTTCCTTTCTTTGACACTTCGTCTTCTGGACCCTCAAATGAAACAATGTTGCAATCTACTAATCATTAAGTTTAATATTGAAAGAAAGAAATTGTGGCCAATCATGAGCTTCCTATCCTCTTTCTCTCTTCTTGTCTCTCTTTCTCTTCTTTTTTTTTATTTCTTTTTTTAAAATTTGGAATTGCATTCATATTTCAGTCAAAAAAATCACTAGCCACAAAATGTCAATACAAACTAGTCACAAAGGGTCATTATAATAATAGAGCGATCTAACATCAAAATTAAGACAATTTGGGGCTCATCAACTAACAATCACGCATGATCGAAGAAACTCTAACATAGGCATCCCAAGTAAAAGTGAAAACTCAGAACAACCAAAAAGAAATAAAGTTTGAAAAAACCAAAGCATAACAATACAATTATAACTCTCACATAAGAGAGGTGGAAAACTCTCACAAAGAAGAGGTGAAAAACTCTAAAAAAATGAGAGGTGAAAATTACACAGATTACCCAAAAAGTCTCCGCGACTTATTCTAAACATGAAGAAATTGCAAAAAAGATGGTGGTAGAGATTCGACACTAAAATGCATGTGGAAATTTGACGTTGAGACGCATCCGCTTGTGATGAGTGGAGAAAAATCATAACTAGGGATGTCAATGGGTCGAATCGGGGGGTGGGTATGCCATTTTCATCCCCATCCCCGTTAAGCTTTTTTCCCTCATCCCCGCCTTCATACCCGCAATATTCATATCGGGGATTCCCCATCCCCACCTTCGTTGGGGAATGGGTTCCCCGACCCGCTCCATTAGGGAAGAAAAATCAATATATAACAAAAAAAAAAAAGGCAAGATAATGAATATATATAATACAAACTTACAAGACAATATAAGAATGTTTTTATATATATATATATATATATATATATTGGAAGTTAACTAATAAATAAGTAGTGTGACTTAAGATTTGTATAAATTATATAAGTATATAATATAATTCTATAAATATAAAACTTAGTTGGTACAATCACTGTAATAACATATAGTCTAAATGGGGGAGGGTTCGGGTTGGAGATTAAAATACCATCCCCGCCCCTCCCCGAACACCATATCCAAAAAATTCCCCGTACTCATCCCCATACCCGTTTTTTGTCCTTCATATCCGACCCATTAGGGTCAAATCCCCGTGAAGACCCATTAGGGTCGAATCCTCGTGAAGACCTTTACCCGCAGGGAAAATTGCCATATCTAACAAAACGAAGCCAAAAAAACCACTAGCCACAAAAGGCTAATACAAATTAGTCATAAAGGGCCATTAGAATAACAGAACGATCTAACATTAAAATTAAAATTTACAAAGAGGAGACTCAAATTTGGAATATTATGAAAAACTAAAACGAAAACAACGAAAAAATGAGGATGAAAGTTATGTTGCGGTCAACAGTTTGACTTCAATGTTGTGGGTCAATAGTCGAAAGTCCAAAAACGGAATGGGCAGCCAGATCTTTTTGGACCACAACAAAACTCGTATGGCCCAAATCTGATTACAACCCGACCCATTGCCTATCGAGAAATTGATTGCGGTTATTACGGCAAAAATCCCCAAATCAATTCGACAAGAGAAAATCCCTAAACTTAATTCCCAAGACGACGTCGGCGCTCGCATTATCGTAGCAGCCATGAAACCTCTGTCGAGTTACTAAAGAGAAGGTAAACACTTGCTTTTACAATGGATATCTAATTTGTTGAAAATTGCATCTTCATTTTTTTTCTTTCTATTTCCATACATCGAACTCTGTAAAGTATCAAAGTTTGCATCTTTTTTCAAAAGTCGGTCGGAAACATGAAACTACAGAGACAAGACTACCCACTAACACTTCTCATATTAATGGCGGACCCAATGTAGGGGGCAATTTCCCCTATTAAGAAATATATATTTATATTTACTTATTTGTTGTAGTAGTAAACTGTAAATGTAGGGTTCTAACACAATATGTTTGAAGAATTGAATTTGATATTGGTTGGTGGCTGTGTGTAACTAGACTTATTTCATGCGAAGATATTTGTTCGAATTCACGGCCCATATTAGGATGTATGTAATTTGTTTTCATGGTTTTGGAAGGGATGAAATGCCTAATAGAGTGAGTGATAACAGTTGTGAATTATTTCAATGGTGATTTATGAGTACAAGTCGGGAGAGTGACAGAGGCCAATAAAAGAAAAAAGAACTTGGGATTAATCTGACCACATGCCAATCATGTTAAAAACCTCGGTTTAAGTGTTTTTGGCGTGTGAGTTTTGGATGTAAAGTTGTATGAAAGCTCCTATAGTTTTGTTAATCATATGGAGAAGGCTTGTCTAATCACTAAGCTAAATCTTGTTATTGATCCATTTGAAAACTTCATTTTGTGGGCTCCAACTTCCAATTATGTAAGTTACCTTCGTAGTGGAGTTTTATCTGTGTCTGGTCCAATAGAAGGATACAAGAAGGTAGGCTCATAAACTTAAATATGTACTGGGAAGTGGAATCTTGATCCCCAGTAGCTACTAAAAATTAGTGGTAGAATTATTCCTTCTGTTTAAGCTATCTTCTTTGACTTTAGTTTTAGAGACTTCCTTATTTATGTCCTCATTTAAAGTTTTCTATTTCAAGATTCAATCTCATTTATATTAGGGAAACATATACTTAACTATGTCGGTGACGTGTTCTGAGCATCTAAAAGTTAATGCCAAGAGTTGTCAAAGGGTACATCAAAGGGGAAGAACATTACATTAAGTGTCATTGGTACATAAGGGTTAGAACATTACTTTAAGTGCATCATGTCTTGATTCCAAATCATAGTGTACACATATAGTTGAGTTGGAAGTGTTTAAACTTCCTTTCTGCTATCTTCCATAGTCTTGCTATAATGCATTTGATGTTTGTGTATACATGCATTTACATACATTCGATTTCTAATGGTGGTAATGCTATAATGTATTTGATGTTTGGGATTAATTGACCACATGATGCCAAGTTTTTTTTCATTCTTGAAACACTCTTGTTAAAACCCTCCTTTCAAGCTCCTCTAGTTTTCTAATCACTTGCTGAAGGCTTGGCTAATCTCTAAGGTAGATCTTGTTATTGATCCATTTTTAAAAACTTCATTTTGATCCCTGTTAACTACTAAAATTTAGTAGTATAATTATTCCTTAATTATGCCCTCCTTCAAACTTTTCTATTTCAAGATTGGATCAAATTTATCTTAGAGCGAATGTGACATTGGCAGAGAAGGGGGAAGGACATTACTTTAAGTTCATCATGTTTAAATTTCGTTTCTGCTATCTTCCTGTCTTGCTGCATTTGATGTTCCTGTGCACAAATGCATTGGCATACATTTGCTTTCCAATAGCCATATTGTTTAGTAGGCAAATCCCTGTGAGTGAGCTTGTGGGCATTTATGTGCAAGCCACTGAGGAAAGCAATAATGTGGTGATTTACATTGCTTATAGATGGATGGCGAATATTTTCTTTATTCTCCTGTAATTTACAACAAAATATGTGTATATATTTAAACATTTACCACAACAATTTTACACCTTAGAAATATATGCCCAACAATTTTCATAAAACACCAACAAATAAAATTTTAAAATTTTAAAATTTGAACAATTGTCAGTGGTCGGTGGAAACTAAAACTGCTTTCGACTTTGAGCGGCGGTTTTCCTGGTACCGTAGTGGAAGCTCTTTAGCCACGCTTTGCGACGAGAAAAACCGCAGCTAATTCTCATAGGACCTTAATTTTGTCGCTGAAGATCATGAAACCATCACAAACCGCAGCAAAAGATCAAAATGGTCAATTAAAGTAAGATTAGCAACGTTTTGTTGATTGAAGTCTGTTTCCTTCTGATTTACGGATGCCATTCGCTTTCTTTCAACCAGAATACCCCATGCAATTTAGTAAATCTCGAAACAGGAACTAATTGACCATCTATACAAGTAACATGTTGTATAATTGCGCAAAACCATCGATTAAGCATAAACAAGTAACATGTTATAGATCAATTTCCTTTTGCCAGTCTCCTGAATTTCATGCAAATCTTTTTATGTAGCATTAGTCTATGCTGCATGCAGTTTATTAATTAGTTTATCTTGTGTTAGTTGGACAACTTCTTGTATGTAATGTAGTGTTTGTTAGAGACGAACAGATTCTAAAAGCTTCTGAATTAATTGGTGACCCCAGCAAGTACTCAGTCTCTTCTAGACAGATATCGGCATTTCCCCATGCATGCTGCTTCACCGTAACTCTCATTCCCTCTAGCTCCGATGCTACTTCTTTCATGATAGCCCCTTCCTCCCCTTTTAACCTTGAACATATTTTTGCGAGATTCGCCACACCTTTTACTGTTTCAATGTTTCCACCATTGAATATGCCATCATCAAGAATTTGGTTCAAGCAGTCTTCCTCCATCGAACGAACAAAGAAGTTCGCAAGATTTCTTTCTTCCTCTGGCCTGTCAAAAGAAAGTGCCATTTTGCTTGTTAGTAATTCTACAAGAACGACCCCAAAGCTATAAACGTCACTCTTTTCAGTTAGTTGATTCGTAAGGAAGTATTCAGGGTCGAAGTATCCAAAGGGATCAATCGTGAAGCGCCGAAGTATGACACTTTAACTGAGTGATTGTCATCTAACAGTATGTTTGTTGCTTTCACATCTCGGTGTGTGATTTGCATGAGAGCGGATGAGTAATGTAAGTATGCTAGTGCTCCTGCTGTTTCTGCTGCAATCTTCAATGGCAAATCCAACGAAAACGATGATCCTTCGCCATTTTGTTATGGATGTGGTAAAAAAAGTACCATTGGTGATGAACTAGTAAAGGCACAGATGTCTCTAAACAGCAACCCAATAGCCTCACCACATTTCTGTGGTCGACTTGAGAAAGAACAATCAACTCATTAACAAACTGCTCCTTCTGGGTTTGAACACAAACTTTGGACTTCTTTATGGCAACCACTTTGTTATCTGGTAATACTCCTTTGTAAACTATTCTGTAGCCTCCTTCTCCAAGGACTCTACTTTCATGATAATTGTTTGTGGCCCTCCCAAGTTCTTCTGCAGTGAAATTTTTTGCTGTCTCCACAGAGCCTTCTTGACTAGAGAGTTGTTGTTGTAACAGTAAGCCACCATTTTCTTTAAAGTATTTTTGTTTGAGTTCGATGAACTTTCTTCTCTGCATTCCCCAATATATCCATGTATTTGCAACCAGTAAAAGCAAGAAGCCTCCACTTGTACCTGCAAAAATCACAACCAAAGTTTGATTTTATAATTTGGGGTAAAAAGGAAATTATATATATTTTCGTCCTTGGTTTTACTGTGGAATAGGTTTAATCCAGCAAGTTTTAAATTTAAAGGGCATTGAAATTAAAAGTTGATGCTTATATCTTTTCACATCTGTTCTTTCCTATACCAAGTGATGAGATCTATAGCTCTTATGCCGAAAAAAAAAGTTATTAGATCTTTTGCAACTTGAGTTTCCTTGTTCTTGCTTTCAGAATGAGGAGTACATTCGACGTTCATCACCACATGATCTGTTAAAAAGACATGTCAAACGCGCCAGAAAAGTTACGAGCACGGTGAGTTTCTCACACCTTCTGGTTCTTACACATACCGAGGCGGCTTTTCCTTTGTTACATATAATCGATTTAAGGCTTGATGTTATGACCCCAACAAAAAAAAGTTTTAAGGCTTGATGAGGCTGATTTATATACATAAAATTTACACCTTAGTTGAATTTGGTGGCTTTAGTGATGCTTGTGACAAGAAATCTTAAAGGAATTATCTGTTATATTGTGAGATTATAGTAAATTTGGTTTACACCTTTCAAATTCAACTTACCTTACCTGCAACCTTTCACTTTTTATTCCTATAAATAATACCCAATTTTTATAAGTAAAACCCATAACTAGAATCCAACTCATCAAGTTACCTTATTAAGCTCAATATCTGATTTATTATAATTTTTTGATTGCCAAAATAGCCCTATTTATATTTCAACGTGTAATGAGGTGGTGTTTTAATTTTTGGTTCCCCAACTTATTGTGGTGATCCGCTCTAAAAATTTGTGTACAATTAATTATCCATTTTATTATTAAACTTTATCAATACAGTCAACAATTTATTGGCCGAAAAAGGCAGTTTCCTTATTGCGTTTTTTAAATTTTGTTCCAACTTTCCCGGATAATAATCTACCTATTTTAGAACTTGGATTTCATTTATTGTACCTAGTTTTTTCATGGATAATAATCTCCCTATTTTTTATATATAAATTATTGTGTGTCTATATTTTCTATATATTATTGTGTATCTAATTTTTTCATGGATAATAATCTACCTATTTTTTTTAAAAAAATTATTGTGTACCTACATTTTCTATAAATTATTGTGTACTTATTTTTCTGTAATAATCTACCCATTATTTTTTTTTATATATAAATTATTGTGTACCTATTTTTCTGTAAAAAAAATTTGGTAAATAATATACCTATATTGTTATACGTATATATTTATATTTATTTTTTCGGAATCTAAAAATGTTAACAAATCAGATCTTGAGTTTGATAAGGTAACTTGATGAGTTGGATCCTAGTTATGAGTTTTTACTTATAAACAATGGGTATTATGTATAGGAACAAAAAGTGAAGGGTTGCAGGTAAAGAAATTTGAATTTGAAATGGGTTAACCCAAAATTACTATTTTAAAAAACTGAGTACTTTCTCAGGAATTTGAGATGAAAGATTTAGGTGATCTAAAGTACTTTCTTGGAATTGAAGTAGCAAGGTCAAAAACTGGTATATTTCTGTCTTAGATGAAGTATGTAATGGATCTACTCACTGAAACATGAATTAATGCTTTGATGTAAACCTGTTGACACACCAATTGAGAACTAATAAGGAACAGTACCAACGCCTTATTGGAAGGTTGATATACCTAGCACACACAAGACCAGATATTGCATATGTTGTGAGTGTAGTTAGTTAGTTTATGCATTCATTATTAAATATAATTGATCAGTCGTTTAATTTTTTTTGATATACCTAGCACACACAAGACCAGATATTAATAATAGCCACTTGTAAGTTATTTACGAAATTTGCATGTGCTAAAGCCACCTCCTGCCTTCATTATTATAAACTAAATAGAAAAAAAAATATTTAATTAATATATATACACGATATTTCACAATAACATACAATTTTATTTGTGAATTTTTGTATATGATTCACTAGTTATTAAATATAATTGATCAGTCGTTTAATTTTGTATATATCTTGATTTGATCACTGAAAGACAAAATGTACCACCGGATATAGAGGAAAAAATAAATATTGCAATAGAAGCAATTGGTTTCTTGGAGAATGACTGCATTATTAATATGAAATGAAATTCGAGATGTGATTGCCGTTGGGAAGACTTCTTCTTTTTAAATTAAAAAAAAAGCGTATTTAGACAAAGTTTCTTGATGCGTACAATTTTTCTTTGATTAATCCTATAAACAACAACTTGTCATAAATAAATTAGTTTAGTAAGTTGCATTATTTATTTCCTCTTCATTTATTGAATTAAGTTGACCAAGTTACCCCGGGGGTAAGTGACTGCATTATTATTGATTTATGTAATTAAATTAAAAAGCATGCAAACCTTGCAATATAAACCTCAAGCTGTTTATTACGACATACAATATTTAATTTCAAGTTGATGTTTTTCTCTTTAGGGAAGCTGTTTACGGCATAATCATGAAATGGAATCTTGCTCTTGGTAGAAGATTTTCAATAACTATCTGAAATTAATTAACCCAAAAACCATATGATTAATAGCAATTTCTTGGTCATCTATAACTTAAATATTTACCCCAAAAAACACGAGTATGATACAAGCACTCAAACCCCCAACAAGATCATTTTAGACATAAGTACGACACAAGCACTCAAAAACACAAGTTAAAACAAGAAAAAAAAACAAACAAACAACGAAAACTGGATATCCGTACATAATGTCCATGACCAGCCGCTGTAGAAGTTGCGAGGGAGGTCAAGGGTCAAAGTTTAACTTCCACATTTTGCATTTGGAGACTACCAAATGCAAGTCCTTGGCTGAGAGAGCAAAGCCTTCAACTTTGTATGACATTTCACATTCTCGTTGCTGGTAGGAAGGTTGTCCATCCCAGTATTGTTGGGTGATGCCCACGTCAGAAGCTCTTCTCCATAAACATAACGTTCCTCAAGTTTCTTGGTGGCCACTGATGTGGATGGGGATGGGACAGCACCAGAATCTTTTGTTGTTTCTTCACTACGTGTAAGGCTAGGAATAGGAGTTATGCTGTAGGTCAATACAGTGCCTTCTATAATGAGAAGCATGCGATCAATTGGGTGCCCCTTTGAAAATATGATGTGATCTACTGCATACGTCACTCGCGTCAGACAGTCGCACATCATGTTCAGTACACTGTCATTCATAAGTTTAAGGAGTTCAACCTGTACATTAAAATTGATCGATGTTTAAACACAAAGCAAGATTCCTTCATCTATATAAGTTCAACGATATAAATTAATTCCTTCATCTGTTTGGTAAATTTATTAAGTGTTGGATCTTAAATAGGATAACAATCCAATATATTACAAGTCTCATATAAGAGTGAGACTTATAAGAACTGTCTTTTTCTCAATCTAATCCAAACTGAACCATCAAATAATGCGTATGAGTGATGGAAGGCCAAGGCAACTCATGTACTTCTTAGGTAGTCAAAATTTTCTTTTCTAATAAATAATATACATACAAATACTTGAGAGAGAGAGAGAGAGAGGAGAGAGAGAGAGAGAGAATCCTTTTTTAGAATTTTCATGCAGAGAAAATGCTTTAGGAATTTTTGCATATAACCGGGAACAACATTGAAGAGATTTTCCAAAACAGAATCTTTGCCCCTTCCAAGTGTCTGTCGCTTCTTTTTATCATTTTCCTGATTTCCTTCCTTTTATCATCAGGAATGGCATTTTTCTCCATCCACGTTTCTGTCGCTTCTTTTTTTGATTCAATCTTCTTCCTAATTTCCTCCGATTGTGTGGTTCTCATCTGAATGAATGTCTGAAGGTACATTTAAGTACAAATAGTAAATTAGAAGTGTATATCAATGATCCGAACATCTAACTTTTAAGTATTCCTACAGAAAAATTTATGTAAAAAATCACTTGATTTCAAAACCATTTGAATTAACAATTATCATTTTAGTGTTTTCTTAAAACATTGTTTATTCTGTTAGTCCAAACTTGATGCCTTAGTGGTTTTCAAAACAGCTCGAATAGTTGAAATAAAATTCTTAGTGAACCTCACAACGTTATCTCAAATAAAATTATACACGATCAATAAAATGGGATATACATTTATGTAAGATAGAGGTTCGCCCCTGAAGCGGATGTAAAGTAAACTAAATGGATACGAGAGAGATTTATTACTAACCTGAACATTTCCAATGAGATATACAAATAATAGCAAGCCAGTGATAGAAATTAGAATTGCAAACAAGTTTTCCCACATATAATTACTTGTCGCGAGATTCGTGCCAAAGTTGCTGCAAAAAGTACGTAAAGGACCAAGCAAAATGTGAGATACTAATGAATGGCAGAAGAAAGTAGTTATAAAAGCAACACTTATTTGGTTCTCTAACAATTATTTCCTTATTCTATTTTTTCTATTAAGCTTTGTATGATTAGAGGAATGGGGGATTCCTAAAAGGATCCTCCTTGTAAGTAGTTACCACATAAAAGGAAAAGTAGTCATATTTAATATATATCTTATACAATATGAGTAATTAAAGAAAATTTACAATAGGAATAGGACATCATATTATGTTGAAGACTTTTTTTATGAGATATTTAGTTATATATCCATTTTTAGCATTAGTGATATAAATAAACCTTACACCATTTAATATTTATAAACAAACACTAAATGACAGATGACCTTATTGAATTTAATTTTGATTATTGAATTACTTTGATGCTCTATTGAGGGTTTTGAATTTTGTATGAGGTTTTGGGGGTTGGGCTTATTTTAAGAAATCGATGGTATTTTGATAATTATAGGAAATTTGAAGCCTCTTTCTTATGTTGTAAATGGATTTTTCGGTGTGTTATTACAGTCCATTTAATGTTGAATTTTTTTAATAATTGGGCCCCCTATATTTGATATAATAGTGACCAAATGGTGATTAAGGACATACAAAACAAATTGTTAGTGAATCTTCCTTTTTTTTTAATCTAGTATAAAAAATATATATTTGATTAATAGAGGATACAAAATAAAATGGTGAAATTTTAAAATAGATATACATGTGCAAGCAAACCTCAAATTTCGCAGACCCCACCAGAAAGAGTAGCATAACTTCGTTGGAAAAGTAGAACTATTCCCGCAATACCAGACTTAAGGGAATCAAGAAATATTCCATACTTAAACGGCTTTGCAGCATTGTATGGAACATCTATGTTGCAATGTTCATCAAAAAATGTGATATTTGGTTCGGCAGTATTGTTATGATCACAATAAAAGGTACTCATGCATTTCCCAGGATTTGTTTGATTTGACAAGCCTGATGCCAACAGAAGGTCTCTCGTTGAATGGAAAAGAAGTACCAAAAGGCTCCAATAACCTATGACAACATAATTAATTAATTGATAGATATAAGCATTAATAATCGATATGATAACTTATTGAGAGAGAAATTGCATTGACACCTATACTCACTCTACGTCATCAGTAATCACTTTCCAATCATGCGTTTATTGTAAATCAAACTAAGCTTCATCAAGCATTTATCAATTACCAAAATAAGTCCGTACTAAAATAAAAGAATATGGAAGTGAAACTTACATGGCTAGCAAGAATGTATAAAAAGAAATTGAATATAGCTTTAACATGTATTGTAATGGTCCTTGTAAGTTCGGAAGAAGATAAGATAATCCGATAAATTCTTGGCAGATATTGGATGAGAAGAAAAAAATTGACAATCTTTCTCGGTTGAATATCCCGACCACCAAATTTGAAAAATACTTTCACTAGAAGCTGCACAAAAGAATAATAGTAATGGGTTAGAAGTCCATAGTAATTAAAGCTGCCTACAGCTCATAATTTACACCAAAAATTTGCGTTTCTCTTATTACTTGTGGCATGGGAAAAAACAGAGAGAAGGTCAGTCACCAAAGGACGCCACGTCAAATCCCGAACGAAAATCTTAGCAAATGGAATTATCTCATCTCTTGTTATTAACGTCGGTTGCCAATCCTTGTGCCAGTCCGACTTCCTTCCGTTGATCACCTTGTAGGCTTGATTAAGCCTTCATAGATTTGATATCCAATATCCACCACGAAAGTGATATCCGTTAGAGATTGCAAAATCAGAGCCACATTCCACAACCTTCTGTCCATTCCAAGGCATCTCTTTCCCTCATCGATGAATGGAATGTATAAGAACAAGGGATCTAGGGAAATTGCAATAACACATGAAATTACAATCATCTTGTTCCAGAATGAATCTGAAAGACATTTCTTTCTTAAAAGTTCTTTAACTTTGGATGGGAGACATCGTGCGGTTACCTGGTGCGTCACTAATTAAAAGAAAAGTGCAATCAGAAAATTGAGGTAAGTCTAGACTTAACAAATTAGAGTATATCTAACCCAACATCAAATGACAAGTCAACTAAAATATATTACGATATCGTAGTAAGTGAGATGATACTCAGTGGGGCGCGCCAAATAATCATCTTATATTATTAAACGGCTACATCTTGCAAAAACTAACCTTGTGTGTTTGGTCAGATGATCAACACGGGGCTGTAAAGACATAACTTCAAGAGCATACAGAAACCTACATATCAAAAGTGCTTTAGATACTAGTATACAGAAGCCTTTGAACGTAGATAGTGAGAGAGATTACATATATTATTTCATCAGGAAATTAAGCTTCAACTGATAAAAACACTTACCGCGCTATTTGCTGGATGCAAGGGCAAGAAGACAAGATGATCTTTTTGTCCTTTTTCCTTTTTTATTTTCTCTTTTGGGTCAATAAAACTTCATCAGATGAAGAGAATAAGGATGAGGAGAGTGGGTTATTCTGCCTGTGTTGTGAAAAAAAGCTGTGGGCTTACTAGGCAATTTCGTGAAGTTATAAACAGGGGCAATGACTCTGTTTACCTTCATTGACTGACCAAGACTTTGTTTTTCTGAAAAAAACGACCTAGAACTAATTGATTACTGACAAGACCTCTTTTCGCACATTTAAAATATAAAAAAACTAAAAAAATTCCAAGGCCAAAAAAACAAAATAAAAATAAAAAAAAAAAAAAAAAAAAAAAGAAAGAAGAAGAAAGATGTAACCACCCAACAATCACCCTATCCCAAGCCTTGCGTTGAATTGATGATAATTATTGATATGATGATAATAAAGGTATGGTACTCGAGGCTTAGGAGCTTTGACTCAAGGTCTGGTTTTTGTTTTTCTTCTTCAGCAGCCACTCAACATTTCTTCTGGTTTTTTTTCTTTATTATTTCTTATAACATGTTTATTATAATAATTATTATTATTACTATTATTTCTGATTGGCTATCTTTGTATTTATATGATTAGCAAACTCGAATAGGAAGAGGTTGTGTGGCACAAGACTCGAGATATGATCTTTTATTATTTGTTTGTTTAATTGATAATTTGATATTAATTTTCGTTAGATTAATTGATATTGATTTTCGTTATATTAATTGATGATTTGACATTGATTTCATATTAATTGATGATTTGATATTAATTATCATATTAATTGATATACTACATAAATTATAAACCCACTCCTTTTCTTTTAAGCTTTGTGCCTTTAAAAATTTCACCTATGCTAAAAAATTCCTAGGTCCACAAGTGGTTGCACGAGATGTTTCATGCTTACGTTCGCGCGTGATACTTTTTTTTCTGGAAAGCACATGTGCTGAGCCACAAAAAAAATTTGGCCTAGGCTATAATTGTGCTACAAGTAATATGGTTGAAGGGCTAATGGACTAAATGTGGACCTTTCCAATTCGCCCAAATTTTGTTCGGAAATGGATTTTGCATTAGTTTAGGGCTATATTTGGTCTATGGCTCATGGTTGAAGATGGCCTTACTAAAGAACGCGATCAAAGTGATGTTGAGGTTTATATAATAAAGGAAAATTGTAGTAATGATCCCTGGACTAAGACCAAACTTTACTTTTCGTCTTTCATGATCAAAAAGAAAAAAAAGGCATAAGAGATAAGGTATTAAAATAAAAAAGATGAGACATGTTTAGGAAAAGAAAGGAAAGGAAAGGAGGGATAATATGTGGGATCTACCTAAATTTGAGATGTGTGGTCACTGGTCAGTAATGTAGTCAATAAATATGGTCCAATACAACAAACATGTTATATATAAAAGGTACTTCTCAACATAATCGCTTTCA